GAAAGGAGGTTGTAGCGAGGTGGGTGTCGGTCTCTTCTCCCAAGTAACTAGCGATAGGACGAGAGGAAACGGCCTCAAATTGTGCCAGGGGAGGTTTAGATTAGACGTGAGGAAAAATTTCTTCACTGAAAGGGTTGTCAAGCACTGGAACAGGCTGCCCAGGGAAGTGGTGCAGTCACCATTCCCGGAGGTATTTAAAAGACACGTAGATGTGGTGCTTAGGGACATGGTTTAGTGGTGGACTTGGCAGTGCTAGGTTAACAGTTGGAATCAATGATCTTAAAGGTCATTTCCAACCTAAACAATTCTATGATTCTATATAAAAGCATTGCAGCACGCAAGGACCTTCCATCTCTCCACTGCCACATCTAGGGATGGAGTTTGGCTGGTCTGTGAAAAAAGCCTGCAAGGGAAGAGCCATCGGTGTCTCCAACAGCATCGCCCCACCACCCTGCACAGGGATGGGGCTAGGAGCCAGTAGACACCCCAGCTCAGCCTGCTTTGAGCAACTAAAATAGAGGCCAACATGACTGGGCAGTTCTAGGGTGTTTGAGCTTTTTTCCAGGCCATCAGGGGAAACACAGACCCTTCAATTGAGTCAAGTCCTTGTGGAGCAGCCCTTGCCCTCCACCCACCTCCTTCAGCCTTTTGCAGACCCTGCTGCTCTATGGGGATTTTTCCCAGCCTAGAAATGGGGCTAGTAAGTGCTGGGGAACCACTGCCAGAAGCTCCTGAAGAGGCTTTCCTCTCTGGGTGCCAATGATGGAGGTTCCCACCAGCTTTAGCCCTGCTTGATGGCAGGGGGCCTGGGTTTCCAGGGGAGAGCAAAGGGGACAGAGGCAGCTGGACCCACTAGCTGAGAAACCCTTGGGAAGAGGCAATATTAAATTGCACCTCGCTGGGCAGAAGTTGCCCCTGTTTCAAATGGATCCTCTCACTGGATGTGGCTTTGTGAAAGCCACGGCAGCATCCAGACCCAGAAGCAACAGCCCCAGGACTGGGGAGAAGACAGGGGGGCTGGGGAGAGGGCAGCCCTGAGCTGGTGACCTGCACCCCCACTTGGTCCCAGCTCCTATGAAGGACGAGCAACAGGCCATACCCTGGACCACTTCTGCCCCCACCAGCACATCCAGAGGCTCCCTCCCAGCTTGGGCAGTATCCCACAGCACAGGGAAAGCAGGGGCCTAGGCAGGCAGGGAGGAACAGAAAGCAAGATCCTTTATTGTACATAGTACAGAATGTAATGCAGCTTTGCAGGAGATACATAGCCCTGCTTGAGTAAAGATTATTTCAAACTAGTCCTCAGATTAACCCCTTCTGCACTGTAGACCTGCCACACTGAGCAAATGGTTAAAACCCTGTCCCCAAGGTAGGGTTCCCGCAACCGAATGCTCCCCACAGGTACAGGCCACTGCAGCCACCGTGAGGAGAGCAACTGAGTCTACCTAGAGTTAATCTTCATACTTCCCCAAAAAATGAATGAATCAGTCAGAAGAAAAAAAAAAAATCCAACCAAAGCTAACTAAGGAAGAGAAAAAAATTCCTATACAGCATTTACAACAAAAACATGTAGCCGGTGGGGGGATAGGCAGGTATGGATATATGAATGATGGAGGAGTGTTAGCAGGTGCAGCAGGGAGAGGGGAGCTGGAGGGAAGCAGGGTACCTGGGAAGCAGGGTGGGGGACCCCACCGCCCCTGCCGACTGCAGCCTTACAGCCCAGCTCCAAGGCCATGCTGAGCAGCAGGGGAGCACAGCTGAGCTGGCACCATGGTTCAGTCCTGGCTCCCCTGGGAAAGAGGACTTGAGCGGTGAAATGGAGTGGACCAGATACTTCAGCAGCCATCCTGGCAAGCCACGGGGAAAGCCAGGGGGGACATCCCCAGGGGCTCTGGGAACAACAGCCAGGCTGCAAAAAAATAGCTTTGCCTTAAAATACAAAAAAATCTACAAAAAACAGTTTAGAAACTTTTTTTTCCCCCTAAAACATTAAAAAAAAAAAAAAAAAAAAAGA